CCTGGGCCCACACCCTGCCTTCCTGCGTGGCCTGGCGCGTCCCCATCAGAACCCGGCGCATCTCCAGAACGCAGGTCAGAGGACTCCCTTCCTCTGCGAACACACAGCCCGCAGCCACCATCTGCGCCCCCCCGGGCAGCGTCGTCCTTGGCTGGAGCCCAGATGGGGCGCGGCAGGTGCAGAGGGAGGAGGGGACACGAGGGCTGGGTGGTCTCCGTCTACACGTCCGAGACGACGGCGACCGCTCGGCACGCCCCCTTCGACGCGAGGTCCTGCGGACATTCACCACATTACTCCGCGGGGAGGGGATGAATCCGATCTGGCGTTCCCATGGCAACGCCTCCCGAGTGCAGCTGGTGTGAGAGCCGTGGATTGTCACTCTCAGGATTTTATGGGAACCGGCTGGTGGGGTCCAGCTGCCCCCAGGCTGTGCGGGGTTCCCGTGGGCACAGAGACAGGGCGGCGCGGACGACGCGGCTGCGGGAGCCCGAGGCACAGCCTCACCCGCCTGGGCTTCAGGAGAGCGGACGGCAGGGGCGGGAGTCGGTTCTCCAGAGAAGCCGGAGCCAGGAGGGGTGTGCGTGGGGACCCCATGTCAGGGAGCGGCTCGCGGGACTCGGTCCAGGGCCATCTGCAGGCAGGGCCTGTCCTCCCGGGCCCCGGTCCATGCTCTGTCCAGGAGAGCCTTCCACCGACGGGACGAGGCCCACCACGCTGGGAGGGCCTCGGCTTCACGACAGCACGTTGGGGTCTGTGTGGACCATGCTGGACCTTCGCAGGAACAGCCTCTGGGCGCTGTGGGCTGGCCAAGCTGCCCCATAAAATGACCTCCTGCGGCAGTGACCATGGGCTCGTTGACTTCCTGAGCGTCACAAGAACTCGGGGTGAAACGCACCGACGCGCCCTGAGCCTATTACAAGCACACGGCTCCCACCAGAGCGGCTCACGGCAGCGTGTGTGTGGCAGGCCCTCTCCTTTACCGGAATGTTACCAGCCAGGTGTCACTGAGATCGCAAGTGAGTGACCCCACGTGGCTTCTGGAAGACGCACAGGGCACCCCTTCTGCCCCAGCCGTGACGTCCTGGCCGCCTTCTCTCCCAGAACTTCCGTGTCAACGTGCAGGCCGCTCCGCTCAGCTCTGCCTCCCAAACCCAACACGCAGCCCTGGAGACGCAGCCTCGGGGGCGCCGGGGAGAGCAGGCTGGCGGCTGGGTTGACACGGCGCATCTGTCTTGAGCCGGCCCGGCGGGAACCACGCCTGAGGCTGCAGAGGTCTGAGAGCTGCGTCCCAGCTCTGAGAGCATCTGATTCCCGTGAACCCCAGTCCCGCTGTGACTTGGAAATCTGGCCGATCACAGAGGAAGAGGGAAAAAATCCACGTTGCCAGGGAGACCACTTCAAACACATTTTACAACGCGGTGGAAGCTACACCTTGCGAGAGGCTGGGTCACGCTCAGAGGCCTGCACAGGACGCCATGCACGTGGACGGCCCCGCCCCGCCGTCCACAGCGCCAGGTCCGCGGTGGCCGCAGTCACAGAGGCTAGCGCTGGTCAGGTGCTGTTCTCGGCCACCTGTTGGTGCAGACGGTCTGGAGCCCCCAGAGGAGGGTGGTCAGTGCCTCGCCTCAGCAGGGGAGCCGCTGGGACCGCTGAACATCAGCCGCTCATGACCACACAGCCTCGGCGCCAGGCACACCCTCAAAGATGACCCTCTAACGGCCGTTAATGGACGAGCAGTAGCAACGCCCAGTCCCCAGAGCCGGAGACCCAGCAGCCCTCCGTCGTCAGCAGGGGGTGGGGGGAACACAGGAAGCAGAAAGTGTGCATCACTCTAGGGTGAGAAGGGTGCGATGCACACACCACACATGTGCACACAGCACACATACACATATGCGCACGTATGTGCACACATCATACACAGCATGCATGCACACAGGTGTACACACTGCACACAACACACATGCACACACCACACACAGGATGCGCACACATGCACACCACACACCGCATGCATGCACACATGCGCACACCACACACAGCATGCATGCACACAGGTGCACACACCACACACAGCATGCATGCACACACTGCACGCATGCACACACCACACACGCACACAGCACGCATGCACACACCACACATGCACACAGCACACATTGCACACAGCACACATGCACACATGCACACATGCACACAGCACACATGCACACACCACACACAGCACACATGCACACACACACACACACACAGGCAGGGACTGCCCAGCAAATGGCAGGAGCAGAGCCTCCAGGATGTGGGAGTGAGACGCTGCTGACTGGGATCTGTCACCTGCTGGCCGTGCGTGTCCTTGGGCAGAGGACCAGCCCTCCCTGCCCAGCCTCCCTCGCGAGACACATGTATGGTGGAATTCAGATGACGCTCGGCCCATCCTAAGCTCAGTCCCCGCCATCACGTTGACTACGGAACAGGTGGTAGAGACGCCCTCCCCTCCCTGAGCACTCTGTGAGGACCCCTCGCCGGGCTACGCCTTTCACAGACGTTTCTACCATGTTCCACCCGTGGCCTTGCACCCAGCTGGGAGGAGGCTGGGGCCACAGGGAACAATGGACAATTGTCCGTACTGGCCAGCGGCCCAGTCCCTCCGCTTTTAGACCATTAACTTGGAGGGTGCAGAGCCCTCCGGTGAGGCAACAGGGCTGGGTGGGGACTGGGGCCCGGCAGCGTCCTCATCCGGGGCCGCCGCCTCCCAGGGCCACCTGGCTGTGGCCAGGCAGGAACGGAGTCCACATGGCCAGTTACCGCACTGGGAAATCGAAGAGATCAGATTTTTATGTGAAATATCCTGAGTTTTAAATACCGGCAATTTATTCATTTAGATGGAGGGCCTGCCTCTCGGCCAGCCCCGCCCTCCGCCCGGCAGGTGCTCCAGCGCTGCTGTCACTCCTCGGCGAGGGGTCCTGGGCTGGCCCCGCTGCTGGGCGGTGGGGCTCAGCTGGTCTCTGTGCGGCCGCAGGCGGGTGCTGGCGGGGCTGCTCCTCTGCAGATGCACTGGCTGGACATTCAAGGTGGTGACCCGAGGGACCGACTGCTGGAGAGGAGGGTCATCCTGCAGGCCCCTGAGGGCAGGGCCAGAGCTCCACGGACAGGGTCCCAGGGGGTGACCTGGCCTGACGTCCACACCACTGCCGCCGGGCCCCCTGCTCGAATGAGGACCACAGCCGACACTCGGGAATCGGCCTTCGCTTTCCCGAGGAAACGCCATGGAGACCGGCAGCCGCCCTCAACCCCGCAGGTTCGAGCCCGGGTGTCTGAGTGATGGCTGAAGGGACCCCTCTCCCCAGACGGACCTTCGCTCCCGCCTCCGGGAAGTGCCAGGCGCACACACGCCCAGAGAGGTGACTGTCCACGGTCGCTTTCATGGCTGCAGATGGGGGCTCGGACGTGGCTGGGGCACCACAGGGCTGGACACCGTCGGCAGAGCAGCTCGGAGGCCTGTGGCGAGGGGGCCCCGTGCAGCCTGCAGTGCAAGTGGCCCCACCTGCCCCTCCAGCCCAGGCCACAGCTGCACACGGAGATGCAGGGACCTCGCTAACACACGGTGGGCCCAGGCGCTGTGCCCAGGCCGGCAGGGGAGCCACAGGGGCCTCGGATCCAGCATCGGGTGCTGCAGCCGCAGCCCCGGCGTGTTCTGTGCCCTCGAGCAGCGGTGAGGGAAGCGGGGCCAGGCCCAGCACCTGGGAGCTGGCTGCATCGCTGGCCTTGGAGGCTCGGGGGGGGCCTTGGCATGAGGTCTCTGAAGTTACAGCGGAGGGACGGAGGACGCTGGGGGCCCGTCCCACATGGACCAGGTCGTGGTCTGCTCCGCCCGTGGTTTTAGTCTCTCGCCCTTTGTCCTTCTTCAGAAACACGACTGCTGAATGAGTCTCGAGTGTGAACACGACCCTGTGGGGAATTCACCCACGCGGGCCCCTCCCCCAGCGCTCCGCGGGACCTTGGTCTCCGCCGTGTTCACCACCAGGCTTGGCACTGGGGCAGGAGGGAGGTGACCAGGTGGCCCGTGAAGACCCTCCCCCTCCGTCCCGCTGTCCTGCCCAGCGTCCGACCTCCCCTGCAGGGCGGCAGCGGGCGTGGGAAGGAGCCCTGAGCACGTGGGATTTTATCTGTGTTGCTCACACTTACGGAGAGAGTTCCGCCCGTGTCCTTCCCACCCGCGGCCCTGGGCCAGCATGGGCATCCGGCAGTGACGACGGCGCCAGCAGCCACCCCGCGGCCGTGCTGGTGCCCCCGTCCCCAACGGCAAAGCCCACAGCCGACGAGTGTGCTCTGCTCAGCGTGCGATGGGATTCTCCCCGCCCTCGGGACAGAAGGGGAATAAGCCAAGTGACCCCCAGACTTCAGACACTGCGTAAGCAGGAGGCCGCAGTCCGGCAGTCACGACCGTTCCCGGGCTCCTGCGGGGGCTGCTCCCTGGGCCCAGCCGAGGCGCCGGGGGTGGGGACGCTGCCCGGACAGCTGCTTGCCCCCATCACTGACAGGCTCCGTGTGGCCGCGGGGAGGACGGCCCAGACCACCTGTCGCTGGCCCTCGGCAGGGCCCACAGGAAAAGTGACTCACGGGTGCAGCTGGGAACCTGGCACCATTTTCCAGAATCAGACTCTCACGTGAGGTCACCGCAGACCCCGCAGCCCCGAGGACCACGGCGAGACCACAGCCTCCACCGCCTGCTCCAGAGCCCAGCGCCCGTCACACAGGTTCTGACCAGGTGTCGCCGCGGACCCGCCCTGGCCCCCCACTCCCTGCGCATGGCACCTTGGAGGGCTGGGGGCACCCTGCGTTTGGAGCAGAACCCCCTTCTCAGGGAGACGCGTTAGGACCGGTATGAGGCCGGCCACTCCCGAGGCCGCTGTGGGGGATGAGGGAGCAGGCTGGGGGGCGGTGACGGGGGGCTGGCAGCACACGACCCCTGCCCAGGTCCCCAGGGCGTGCTCTCGCGGACTCACCTCCGTGATGATGAAGAAGTCGTCCCCGGGCTCCCCCTGAACCACAATCTTCTCTCCATCTTCAAACTGGACGGGCTCCAGGGCGTCGGCCACCGTCAGCCGCTCCCACTTCTCCAGGGACTCTAGAGGGGACAGGAGCCGGTCACCCCACAACGTCATCTCAGAACACCCCCGCGGCCCCCAGCCGTCAGGCCCCGCGGCAGGGCGCTGGTGAGACAGAAGGTGGGCAGACTGGCGCCCAGGTCACACGCGCCCACCTCAGGGACGGTCACACACGCCCACCTCGGGGACGGTCACACGCGCCCACCCTCGGGGACGGTCACACACGCCCACCCTCGGGGACGGTCACACACGCCCACCCTCAGGGACGGTCACACACGCCCACACTCGGGGACAGGCTCCAGGACGCCCAGGTCACACGCGCCCACCTCGGGGACGGTCACACACACCCACCTCAGGGACGGTCACACACGCCCACCCTCAGGGACGGTCACACACGCCCACACTCGGGGACAGGCTCCAGGACGCCCAGGTCACACGCGCCCACCTCGGGGACGGTCACACACACCCACCTCAGGGACGGTCACACACGCCCACCCTCGGGGACGGTCACACACGCCCACACTTGGGGACAGGCTCCAGGACGCCCAGGTCACACGCGCCCACCTCGGGGACGGTCACACACGCCCACCTCGGGGACTGTCACACGCACCCACCCTCGGGGACGGTCACACACGCCCACCTCAGGACGGTCACACGCGCCCACCCTCGGGGACACGGCCGGGACCAGGCAGCTCCTCCAGCCCTGAGTCTGAGCTCTCACTGAGCACAAAAAGGCGTCTCGTCTTCAGAGGGGCACAACCACCCACGCTTTGCAAACAGGGTCACAGCGACCGCGAGGGCAGCTCAGGTCTAAACAATCTGGCGCCGTGAAGCCGTCCCCCACTCCGCGGAAACACCCTTCGCCCGCACTCAGACGGGCACCGCCGCCCCCTCGCTTCAGGTCAAGGGCCCTGGTTCCAAAGCCAGGTTCACCTCCAATGCTGCAAATTCGGGGCACGTTGTTCCTCCTCACACCTTCCTCTCCCCGCCGGTACCCCCCCCCCAGCCCTCCGGAAAGAAAAAAACCAGTATGTTCCCTTTTACAGAAAACACAATTGCCTGATTAACTTTTCCTGGCAAAAGAAACTTCCCTGGCCCGCACTGATCAGACGCCACGTATGTAGGTCAGCTGCTAAAAATACGGAGCGAACCCTCTGTTCAGATCCAGGTGAGGAACGGGATTTCTCTGCTTTGAACTCCCACTGGTGCCACGCTGCCACGGCCACGCTTTCAACTAGCCGGGGTCACGGGGTGCCTGTGATGTGGGAAGGAGGGGAGCCAGGCACCCCTAGCCCACCTGCCCACCAGCTCTCTGCAAGGCCTGCACCACACAAACACAGCTCGGTGACCCAGAACAGGGTGTCCCCACGCGCCCACAAACACCTGAGACTGGACCCCTGCCAGTGACCTCTGAGAGACTGCAGTCTGTGTCCGGGACCAAGGGTTCAGGCTGGCGTGTAAATGCGTTTTGCTTCTCGGTTTCCTCGCAAGGGCTACCAGAGACGTGTGGTTGACAGATCACGTGTGGTCGTCAGGTCACGTGTGGTCGACAGGTCACGTGTGGTCGACAGGTCACATGTGGTGGACAGGTCACGTGTGGTCGACAGGTCACGTGTGGTCGACAGGTCACATGTGGTCGTCAGGTCACATGTGGTCAACAGGTCACGTGTGGTCCACAGACACGCATGGTCAGGTCACGTGTGGATGACGGGTCACGTGTGTTCGACAGGCCATGCTGCGGCTGGAGTTCATCCCCATGTTCGACCGTGGGCTTCCTCCAGTACTTCTGTAGCCCTGAGTTCTGAGGACCAGACTCCCCCACAGCACACATCAGAACACCGTGGAAGGCCACGGTGGATGTCACAGCAGCCTGTCCGCCGAGACCACTCCCAAAATAGCGCGTGGACACTTCCTACGTGCTCAGGGTCCCTGGGCCAAGGGTCCCCAGTGCTGACGGTCTGCCCTTCGTGGGACAAGTTCCACGTTTACTGACCCTTCCTGAGAGGCGTCACCAACACGGCGCGGTGGTGGGTGCCGCCCACGACAGCTCACACAGGTCGGTGCCAGGAGGGCAGCCCGAGGGGCAGGACCTGGGCGCCACGGGAACTCAGAGACACAATCCAGTGACCACCTGGGCCGTGTCCCTCGGCCGCCGACCTATGTGTTTGTCAGGAGAAGCCAGGGCCTGGGCACGTGCAGTTACCCCAGGCAGGCGGCCTAGGGCGAGGTCCTCCTGCCAACACCCCCGGGGACTAGCGCAGCTGGTGCACACTGAGCTGGGAAGGGGCAAGGTCTGGTCATTTCCCGGACAGCCACAGAGACGCCAGCGCACTTGGTGGCGACTGCGTCCCCCACGGGGAAGGGAGGCGCCGGGGTGGCAGCCGAGCAGGTGTCCGTCTGGTGGCATTTGGGGGCCGGGCCACCCCTCCCTGCTCGGGCTCAAAGGGAAGAACAAGACAGGCCTGCGAGGTCCCGGGTTTGGAGTTTTCATGGCGCTGACACACCCCTTCCCTGGGCCCCTGGAAACCTTGGGGACCAACCAGGAGGTGCCAACGTTTTCTCTGCCAGACACGACATGAGAACACCCCCTGGAAAGAACTCAGATGCAGAATGTGACTCCGTGTCTGCGAACCGTCCGTCCAGTCCGCCGACACGAGGGTCAGGCCCGACGGCCAGGGGGCCGAGCCCGCAAGGGTCCCCACGGCCTGACCCTTGTCTTTCGTTACCACAGTAAGACAAGAAGAGCCCCGGCCCCTGGGAATCCGAGGGGGCTGCAGCCTGCGCCCTCCCGGTACCCCGGGCTGCGTCTGATCCTGGTCGGGCACAGACGGGAACAAACCGGCGAAGGTGAGTTAGCGGGACAGCAACTCCACGTCTCCCGCTCTCTCAAATCGATTTTTTCAAAAAGAAGAGAACCACGGCCTTCTCTCGTTTCAGACGTGCTTCCGGGCCGGCTGCGGAGGGGACTCGCACGAGAGGGCAAGCACCCCTGCAACACCTGTGCGCCTCCTGGCCTCCTCGGGACCGCGCGTCTGGCGTGGCCGCGTGCGGCCGGGGGGCGCCGGTCAGACCTCAAGCTCCGGTCCCTCGTGAAGTCGCTCTGGGTGGAAGGGGGACTGCTCTCCCACTTACGTGGTCTCAATCCGCACTTCACCCTTTGTGTTAACATCACTCACACTCACTACAAAGAACTCCAGAAACATAGCGACGTATAAAGAACATGAAACGGTCGCAGGTCCTCCCAGGCGGCCGGGGGCCTGCGCGGAAATACCTTCCTCAGAAGCGACACGGGACGTGCTGTTTCCAACACGAGGCTCACGTTTTATCTGCTTGAATTTAACAAGAATAGAAACAGTGAAAGTGAATTTCTGGTGGTTTTTTCCTTCAATGCAAGATACGGTCTTTTCTACGAGATTCCGCTACGAAGTCTCACGAAAAGGACGTTGACGTGGTCATTGCGTTTTATGTGCACGGAGTCATACGAATGCCTGCTTTTTTAAGTCAAAAGGCGTAGAAAGTGGGCCATTCCACGCGCATTAACTTTGTCGTGAATGTCAGGGAACACGGACGTCCTGCGCGGACCCGAGGACAGGTGGGGTTCGCGTGTCCACCTCCCTCAGCTGTGGTCGCTCCCACGCGGTCCGTCCCAGTCGCCGCTCGCCTTCGCCGCCTCGGGACGTCTGGTGAAACGTGTGAGCCGAGTTCTGCAGACCAGGGAGTCTGCGTGGCCGAGCCCAGGAGCCGGAGCCTGGTGTGCTGTCCGGGCGGCTTCCCCAGCTCCGCAGGGTGACACACGTCCCCCCTGAGGCCCGGAGGCTGCGGTTTCCAGCTGTGAAGTTCGGTCAGGACGTGTCCTCCTCCGGCCTCACCGATCCTCCTCGGTGAGGGTTCGTCCTTCCTGTCAGCAGCTCCCTCGTGGTGGCCGGTGCGTCCCCCGGGCGGGTGCCTGTGTCTCCCAGAGGCCCTGTCCCCCTCAGTCGCTTTCCCGGCCTCCCGTGGTCGCCTCACCTGGGTCTTCCACGCCAATAATTCCATCTCTGGTCTTGTCCGTTTTTTTAAATTTGGAAAAAAATTAACCAGGAAAGGTCTTATGCCCTTAGGATGATAGAGAAGTTCCATAAGCCACGCCGACGTTTTGTTCTGGGGACCCACGTTTTCACGGAGACGAGCTGACGCGCACCATCGGCCGTGCACAACTCAGACACAGACACACGCAGGTGGTCTGCACGGTCGCTGTTGTGAAGACCACTGGCCGAGCGTCCACGACCGAGCCCTCACGCCCAGGCGACAGCCTCCGAGGTCGTGAGCTGGCCGGCCCCCAACCCAGCTCATCGCCAAGGCTGCACCCTCGCCTCCGCTCTGCTGTTCCGTCGTCTCGGCCTCTGTTCTGTGTCACTGAATTTGTTCTTAATAAATCCTGCGCTCTGATCTGCTTTCTGTTTCCTTGGACGTGCCTTCCTCTGGCTGGGCTCCCATCCAAGCTGGACAGGGGGCTGGAGCGGCTCAGCGGTTGCAGCGCTGAGAATCGGCCACGTGTCCGAACAGGCTCACCACATGCGGCCTTGGGACCTGCACAGGGGCCCAGAGCCGAGCCTGCGCCCTTGAGCACCTGCCCCGGGTGGACAACCCCCCACTGACACACCGATGCCTTCTGTCTCCTCCTCTCTCACTCCTTTGTGCTCTTAGAGGGGGGGACCTGCCCAGCTCACCGTCGTCACGCACAGTCTGGCCTGGGCTTCCTCGGCTGGAACTGCCCTGCAGGGACGCCTGCTGGACGGTGACTCTTGTGGTTCCGGAGCCACGGCCCTCTCTTGTCCCTCACCTACCTGTCGGTCCCTTCTAGGGTCTCAGGCTGCCCTGTCCCAAACGGCAGCTACTGCCACCCACGCTTCTTTGTCTAAGTAGGTTACAGCGAACAGCACTGTCACTGCCAATGTCCCGCTGGCCACGCCAGCCCACGCCAGCCAGTGGTCACCCCCAGCCACGTGAGAGCACTGAGAAGGCTCTGCTGGAGAGAACGCTGTTGACACCCCAAACCAACAGAACGGTCACCAACGTGCTCGTCAGACCCCGGAAGGGAAAGCGCAGGAGCACCAGGAGCACCAAGCCGCCAGGGGAAGGACCTCCACGCTGCAGCCTCACCCCCCAGAAATAACAACGGGCGCCACGCAGGACTGACTGACTGATACGGACGACGAGCTGGAGACAACGGCACTGACGGTGGAGAGACAGAGAGACAAGCAAGCACAGCTGCAGACAAAGATGGCTCGGTCGGACCAACAGCAGTGTGTGTGCATGCATGTGTGCACTGTGCATTTGTTCATATATGTGCATTGTGTGTGCTTGTGCATGCTTGTGTGTGTGCGCGAATGTTCATGTGTACACTGTGTACTTGTTCATACATGAGCATCATGTGTGCTTGTGCAAGTGTTCATGTGCATGTGTGTGCGAGTGCTCATGTGTGCATTGTGTGTTTGTTCATACATGTGCATTGTGTGTGCTTGTGCAAGTGTGTGTGCGAGTGTTCATGTGTGTGTGCGAGTGTTCGTGTGTGCATGGATGTGTGCACTGTGTGCTTGCTCATATATGTGCATTGTGTGTGCTCGTGCAAGTGTTCATGTGCATGCATGTGTGCTTGTGTGTATGTTTTGCGAGTGTTCATGTGTACATGCATGCACTGTGCGCTTGTTCATACATGTGCATTGTGTGTTCGTGCAAGTGTTCATATGCATGTGTGTGCTTGTGTGTGTATGTGTGAGTGTGCATGTGTGTAGTGTGTGCTTGTTCATATGAGTGCATTGTGTGTGCTCATGCAAGTATTCGTGTGTGCTCATAAATGTGTGCACTGTGCTCTTGCTCATATGTGTGCACCTGTGTGCTCATGCAAGTGTTTGTGAGTGCATGTGTGCACGTGTGTGCTCGAGTGTGCATACTGTGTGTTCATGCCTGTGTACAGGTATGTACAAGTGTGTGCACACACACTTGTGTGCAAGCGCACATCTAGGAGCATGCACATGTGGCTGAAACGTGTTTCCCCAACTTGCCCAGCACAAGACCATGGGGCCCACCAGCCTCCTGGGGCACATGCAGGGGCGGGGCCTGCACAGGTGCTCACACTGACCCAGGATGGAGACCTTGCTGAGGAATTCCTCGTACATCTTGCGTTTCCGCAGCGTGCTGCCCTGTGTGGGAGGAAGGGGAAAGTGAGGAGGTGGTTGACATTTCCAAATTTCCCCAAATGACCTTGAACTCTTCAAAGGACACCCTTTGAGCAATCCATGTCCCGAAAGCCCCTCCAATGACCAAGAGTCAAGGGAGCTGCTACCGTTCCCAATGGCCCAGCACCTTGTCCCCAAGACAGGGGACCATGAGGAGCACAGGTCACCCCAGTGCCTCCCACCCGCTCCTGCAGGACTGCGGACCACGCTCTGGCCGTTGGGATATAAATGGCCATGGTGGGTGCTCTGAACATGCCCCACGGAGAAGGGCCCCTCGTTCCTTCCTGCTGGCTGGGATGTGGGGACCATGACTGGAGCTCCGGGAGCCCCGAGCCTCTGCGGACGGAGCTGCCAGGCCTCTGTGGGGGCGCCGGTCCTCCGGCCCACAGGACAGCTTGAGCGTGAGGAGCAACCGTGGGTCAAGCCATGTTTTGCGTGTGTCACACCCATGTGGCAGCCCGTCTCTGCCGGTCCCCTGACTACGGCCAGGGCTCGCATCCCTGGAACGGGCTGACCGGCTGACTGGAGCACGGTGAGGAGTGAAGCCTGAGACTCTGGACGCTGTCCTGAAAGGACACGGTGCTCTGGGGGGGCTATGGAGAGGCCAGGGCGCCTCGGGCCGACCACCAGCGCCCTGTGGGTGAGCCACTGTGGAAATGACCCTCTAGCCCACCAAACCCGCAGCCACCCAGCCGAGAGGTCCGATGGGGCCGCCAGCTACACCGCTTCCCTCACGACCAGACACTGTGTCCACCAAAGTCCCACGGCTATCGCGGGCCACTCAGCTGGGGGAGGTTGGTGGCTCAGCCACCGCCTGCCAGCCCTCCTGTCCACTGGCGTGGTGGACGAGAGTCCTTGCTCCCGTTGGGCCACCGCACGATGGCATTGGTTTCCCGCCCATCCCATCCTCAGGCTCAGCGGCGTCGGTTTGCACAGGGTGTCGGGTCCCTGCAGCCTGGTGTCGGGCGCTGAGCAATGTGTGAGGAGACATCGGGAAAGGAGAGAGTCAGACAGGGGAGCGAGACCCCACGGAGGGCCTCTGCCCGAGGGCCGCCGCTCAAAGTGCCGGCCGGCCACCCGGGAGTCAGGCACACTGCTGCTGGCGGTCACCACAAGCCCCACGTGGCCCCGAGGTCACACATGTGTGGTGTCACCATCAGTTCTCAGAGACATGAGCACCTTCAAGGAGTCGTCCAAGTCCCGCTCCAAGTGGTACCCAGGGGCCAGGGATCCTGCCCGGCCCCTGGCCCACCCACTCTCAGACGGACTTCAAAGCAGATTCGACTGAGACAGCTGGTGGCCCTGCAAAGAGGGGCCCACTTCCTCCCCCGGGAAGGTGGGCCCACAGGAGCTCGCCCTGTGGGGTGGGAGGGAGAAGCGGCCTGGTGGGCATGGAGCGGTGAGCCGTGGGCAGACACGGCCCCATCCCCTGTCCCTGCCCCGTGGCTGGACACCGCTGGTGGGCAGCAGACCCCTCGGTCCGGCCTCCCTGCCGAGGGTGGGAGAGGGTGGCGGAGGCAGAGAAACAGGGAAGGCGCATGGCACTAATGGCCTGTCCCCAGAAAACTATGACAAAAATGCACTTGCAGTGAAGTGTGGGCAGGAGTGTCAGTCCCAGGACCAGGCTTCCCACACGTCCTTCTGGACCCCAGGGTGGCAGGGCTGACCCTCCCCGCCTGTCTCAGCTGCTGGGCACGGAGCATGTCCCGTAACCCCAGCTCCCCGGGTCTCCCGGTGTCCCTCAGCACCCCGGAGGGAATGCTGAGCCCACGACGGGCACCAGCCCCGAGCACGCCCCCTGCACATTCCAGGGCCTCGGCACAGAGGACACTCGGGCTGCCCGCCTGAGAGAAGGGCCCTTGTCGAGTGGGTGAGTGTGGGCTGAGTGTGCACCTACGTCTCTGAGCCTCAGTGAAATGGTGATTATGACTTCCCAGCCTCACTGAGCCATTTCTAAGGACAGACTCTCAACTGTTCCTACGTTGTTGACGGTGATGATGATGGTGATGATGGTGCTCATTGTGGTAGTGATGGTGGTGGTGATGTCAGTGGTGGTGACTGGTGGTGGTGGTGATGGTGGTGGTGGTGGTGGTGGTGGTGATGGTGGTGGTGGAGGTGATGATGGTGGTGACTGGTGGTGGTGGTGATGGTGGTGGTGATGGTGATGGTGGAAGTGATGATGGTGGTGATGGTGGTGGTGATGGTGGTGGTGGCGGTGGTGGTAGTGACGGAGGTGATGGTGATGGTGGTGATGCTGATGGTGGTAGTGACGGTGGTGGTGGTGGTGGTGATGTCGGTGGTGATGGTGGTGGTAGTGAGGTGCTGTACTCCTCACCGAGTACAGTGAGGACTATGGGAGAGTCACACACTCTACTTCCAACCAGAACGCCCATGACCCCCACTCCTAGACCAGTCCAGCTCTGTCTGGGCTTCAGGTCCTGCACCAGGAGGGTGATCAGTCTGGCGCCACATCTGGGTGTCTGACCTGGCTTCTCCCTCCCTCCTCGCTACCAGTGCTCTGCCAGCGGCATCTCCAACTCAGCCCAGGAGGCGCGTTGTCCGCTTCCCACCGAGAGGCAGAGGATCCCAGCCTCAGAGCACCTTGCCCATCATCGGCGGGTGCAGAGACCTCCGCAAACATGCGCTCACCGCGCGTCAGCACACGGCGGGCCCCCCGGGACGGGTGCACAGAGAAAGCGTGGGGAGGCCTTCCCACTGCTACCAGCAGAGGTGCCTCCTGGGCGGCGGCTGCTTCTGCCCTCAGGGTCTCTGCAGGTGAGAAGGCTGAGTGGTCACACCTGCTCCTACCCACGAGGCTGCTGAGGGTGGGGTCAGGTTAGAACAGGAAGTCTGGACCCAAGCTCAGACCCCTGCTGCTCGTGGACACGGCATTTCTCTTGAAAAGTAACTTACGATTCACACTGGCCCCCAGGGCCATGCCCACTCGGACCCACGCCGGGCCTGGGACCTGAAAGCTCAGGGCAAGGGGCCCACGTCCCCTGTGGCCGGGACCCCCGGGGAAGGAGACCTGCCTCTAGGGCTGATGGGACGCCCTTCTCTTCAGGAAGTGTCTGCGACGGAGCCGGCGGGTGAGGCTGGGCCGGGAGCCTGGCCGTGTCCATACCCGGGTGGCGTCCCGGAGGCCAGCCGTGACCTCAGGGGTTCTACAGGGCGTCTGCTGGCCGGCCCCAAGGTGGGCTCTGCCGGGGAGGCTGGGGCCGCCAAGGCCACAGCACAGGGAGCGGCCGGGGGGCCGAGGAGATGGGGCCTGACTGAGCCCAGGACACCTGACCCTTGGTCCCAGGGGCCGGCAGCTCTTCAGGGTCCCAGGATGAGGCCGCGTCCAGGGGAAGGGCAGGCGGGTGCTGGTAAGAGAGACGTGTGGACGGGGAGAGGCCGAGGCGTCCGGAGCCCCTAACTGCCAGCACCTGGGACCTCGGCTCAGGCAGCTGGGGCCACAGCGATGGAGACGGAAGGGCCTGTCCTGAGACTAGAAATGAAAGGTCTGCAAGGTCCAGACCAAGGTGCACCCCCCATGACCCCACTCCAGACGGGAGCCAGGGCCCAGGTGGGCGGCTGGGGTTTCGGTGTCGCAGCTCAGAACCCAGGCTCCAAAGGCCCCAGGCCAGTGGGAATCTGGACACCCCAGCTCTGCCACCTGGGTCCTAAGTATGACCCAAGGGGACAAAGGAAAGAAGGAGACAGTGGGGGGGGGGTGCCGGCCACGTGCTGGGAGGGAGCTGGAGGAGGGCGGAGCCCTGGCCCCTGATGGCAGCAGGTCCTTCCTCTGGGAACCAGAGGGAAGAGGGGAGATGCTGTAGGGAACAGAGTCTGAGCTAACATTTCAGGGAGCAGCGCTGTCCCTGGGGACCCCACTGTCCCCTCCCCAGTTCCTGCTCCCGGGGCTCGTCCCAGCTCAGCGCCAAGTGGGCGCAGGAAGACCCACTCCTTGGCGTGGGTCCACGCAGGACGGAGCCAGGACACGCCCGGCCGGCCCCACGCTGCCACCACCCCCCCCCCCCCGGGAGCGGCCCGCAGACGCCAGCACAGCTGGGGCTGTTCTCAGAGCACAGGGACCCAGAATTAGCACAGAGGAAGCGCCAGCTGCCTCGGTGGTTTGGGAACTTCCCTGAATATAAGGTTCCAGCCACACAAACCCCACGGCCGAGAAGGGCCTGGCGTGGACGGAGCCGGAAAACAATGGCTCATGCAGCCCGAGCCAGGTACACCCAGGGGGCCGGAACCGTGCTCCCAACGCCCACGCTCTTGCAGGAAGGGTGTCTGGGGACCTGGCCACATGGAAGGACGGAGGGAGAGCAGACTCCAGACAGGAGAGCAAGCACTGTCTCCGCTGCACCACGGGGCAGGGCCCTCCTGGTGCATCGCGGTGGGCGCTTAGGGTGGCGGCCACCTGCCCGAACACCGTGCCGAACCCTGTATCATGACAGACCTGGGGCCAGGACAGGCCACAGGCAGACACCTTGTCCCTCCTTCCTGAGGGGCCACCGGGGTGGGACGCCCCCTCCAGGCTCACTCCTGGCTGAGCTCACAGGCCGGTTCCCAGACTCTCCCTGAGACTCCCCTCCGCAAACCCTCCCTGGAAACTGCACCCCCGGCGGCCTTGAGGGGACGACCAGGCCCCAGAGGTGGTGGCCGCAAGCAGGCAGGTCCAGCCCCCAGGAGGGCGAGTGGAGAAGGGGCCCGGGTCCCCTGGCAGTGTGCTCACCTTGGTCACCTGCCTCCTGGTGGGCAGGGGTTCCGGGGTCCCCGGCCCCACAGGAGCTGGCTCTGGGGAAACGCCACCAGCAGGGCAGGCCCAGGGCTGCCCTCAGCAACACGCCCCCTGCCATCCTGGGCCACCGACCGGCTCAGAGAAGCACCTGCCCCGCGGTCACCAGGGTGAGCACAGGCAGCTGGGGGGGGGGTGCGGCTTCCCAAAGGAAGGACGCTTGGTGCCCAGCGCCCTGCCCAGAGGTGGGAGGGGAGGGACCAGAGACCTGGGACAACAGGGACCCCCTGGGCCAGTGCAGGTGCCCAGATCCTCCTGCTCTTCCCTCCAGGTCAGCAGGGCCCCGTCCTCACCACGCTGGCTCTCCAGCCGGCCAAGCTGCTGGGTGCAGGTGGACTCTGGCCACACGTCTGCTTAGACTCCCTCAGGGGCTCCAGGCCACCCCCTCACCCCGGGACCCCACGCACCCACCTACACGGTCTCCCGTGTTCCCAGTGTCTGACACTCCTGCCCGAGGCCTCTGCTGAAATGCCTTGTCCAGGGAGGGGTCTGCACCGCTGCGGGACAGCAGCCCCTCCCCCGCCTCTGCTTTATTTGCCCCCAGGAAGGGCTGCCACCCAGGCAGGACGCGCTCGCGTCACCCCAGCTTCACGAGGGCAGACGCTGCTCTGTCTGTGCCGACCCGATGGGCCGGCCCAGCAGCACACGCAGCGCCTGGTCAGTGCAGGACGGGCTCTGAGCGGCCCAGAAAGACCTGCCTCCTCCCCGGGAGGGTCGCGAACTCACCTGTGAGCACCTGAATCGGCCCCTGCCCTCCATAGCCGGCTACAGGCCTCACGGGCAGAAACCCAAACAGCAGCAGCTAAAACGCCAGGGACCACTGCCCACATCGGGAGTCTGGAGGAAAGCAGACTAGCAGGCACAGGGCCCGCTGTGCCCCCCAAGAGCCAGGCCCCACACCTCTCTCCACCCGCCTGGTGATGGTGTTTCTTCTCAAAGTCACCTCATGGTCCAGGACGGCAGCTGGAGCTCCAGCCCTCGCGACACACTCCAGACAACCAGGAGAGGGAGGGAGGCAATGTGGCTGCCCTAGGCGTCTGCCACCTTTTACCAAGCTTCCCAGAACCCCCTCGACATCCCCACCAGCACGCAGGCCCTGCCCCCTGGGGAGCTGAAAACCCAGGCCTCCCCACCTGGGCTCGGGTCCCAGGCCCTGAGAAGCCCTCAAGGGGCCGCTCACCATGAGGATGCGGCGGTAGCTGTCTCGGTCGATGCCCCAGAGCTTGAGGTCGGTCTTGGCTTTCACGGTGGCTGCCCTGGGGGTGCCGTAGATGAGCGCGAGCTCCCCGAAGCTGCCGCCCTCGCTGATGCTGGTCACCCACTCTCCGTTCACGTACACCTGGGAGAACAGCATGAGGAGCATCATGGGACACGCGAGGGTCACACCATGGAGGGCTCTGGAGCTGGGACAACGTGGCCCCAACCGAGGCCCAAGCTGGTGGGCAGAATGCCGGGCTCTCCTGCCCAGGCCCAGCCAAGGTGCTCGCCTCCCCCAGCCTGGCCTGCTCCACCCGAGACCTCACATCGACCCCCAGAGGCAGATGGCCCTTAGTGCTCATGGCCGACGGGCAGGCCAGGGCTGGAGGCAGAAGACGCCCGCCCAGGGCCCCGGTCTGTCCAAGCAAGTCCTGCCTCTTTCTAGGGGGTCTTCTGCCCCATCCCCATCGACTCTAGACGGGCCTCTCTGGGCCTCAGTTTCCCCAACTGCACACGGACGGTCACACTCTCCACAGGCAGCTCTGCTCCCCGCTGCCATTCACCAGCCGCCCCGAGCGGCCCCCACGCCCAGCCTGCGTCTCCCCCAGGGCCCACCCTCCCCGCCCCCAAGCAGCACCCCAGCTCCCGGCCTGCAGTCAATGGGCCCGCCAGCGCTGAGGGCCGGACAAGACTCCCTTTCAGCCGTGGGCAACGCCCGCAGAGTGTTCCCGCTAAGCGCGGACCCCGCGGTCCGTGTCCGTGCGGGAGCCGCACAGACTGTCCATTATGCGGAGCGGTCACTACAGTCGGCACAGGGCCTGGTCCCACTGCGCGTCGACGAGCCCGAAGAATGGCTCCCGTTGCGAATGGGCGCAGCTCGGGAAGGAATGGATTGCGATGAGTCATGGAAGCCGGTCTCGTCGAATCAATGACTCATTATCTTGGTGATGACTGGGGCACAGAGCTGCCCAGCTGAAGAACATGCCAGGCAGGTCCGGAGAACTGACCGACCATAAAGCTTCCCGAAGGAGTCTGTGTGTCTGTCCAAGAGCCTGCAGAACCCCATGGCCCAGGCCCAGGCGGAGCCTCCCACCCCCGCTCCCAGCCTCACCCATTATCCCCTGCGCCCACAGCGCCCTCGGGCCCAGGAGGGGAGTCGGGTACATGGGGAGAAGGAACACCAGCACCCACTGGACAAGGCCTGCAGGAGTCAGGACAGTCTCCTGTCCTCCCCACCGGGCAGCAGGGCGCCTGCCTGGAGCTGCCCAGGATGAGCGACGGGGGAGGGGGCCAACCACCCAGGGCTTTGGGGTGAAGGGAGGCGGAGAGCACTCCAGAACCTCCGCCCCAGAGCCGTGGGGGGCGCTGATGGCAGCCACAGCGGGCAGCTGGCACCCGAGCCCCTCAGCTGGTCCCCTCACGGCCCACGCCCATGACATCCTGAGACATCCTGACCGTGTGGCTATGACACACATGTCAACATGCACGAATCCACGTGTGCGGCTCGGTGAGCTTCCCCATCACTCAGATCGAGGCGTGGGGTCTGCGGGTGCTGCCGGTGCCCCCGCCAGGGGTGGGTCTCCCAAGGCGCCACGTGCGTGAAGGGGCCACGCAGCACATCCTCAGGGCCACGCGGTGGTCCGTCCTGGGGTGACGGCCCATTCGATGCCAGGCTGACGCAGAACGCGGCGTGAACACTGCACGGGCACGCCGTCCTCTCGTGGGACATCAAGGTGCACGTGTGGGCTTCGCTACCTCCCAGCGCTTGTCCCAGGGGCCCTCCTGCCCGAGGCCTCGCCAGGTGGTGCGGCTCAGGGGTCACGCTCGGGACCCAGGGAGCCGCCGCCCAACTGGCTGCCAGAAAGGGCCAGGACACCCCCATCCACCGCCGAGGAGCCCAGGGGCCCAGGGAACGAAGCAGGTGTCAGCAGAACCACTGATGCTGGCTGTGCCCCAACTTTCCCGGGCTGTACCCCAAAGAGGGGGCATGGCTGGTGCTGCAGAGCAGGACAGAGGGGACCCGGGGCCCAGTGCCCACAGGGGCTGCAAACCTGTCACCCCAGAAGCCCAAGGACTCCGAGCTCCCCGAGGCGTCAGAGAACCATTGTGAGCCTCCAGCCCCGGACACAAAGGCCGTCTCTCTCCGGACACTGGCCTCTGTCACCACGCCGGCCCCACCCCAGCTGGCACGCACAGGGCTCCTTCTTGCTTTGTTTTATTTTCTGTTTTTCTTCTTCTAAAAGAAGAGTTGTGGGAGGCCCCGCTGGCTACGTCTGCGCTCTCGCCATTGCCCGTGGTGCTCCGGCCAAACCCAGGGCTCCCACCGGGCCGTTCTGCGTCCGTCCCTTCGCTCATTCACGAGCTTGTTCATTCCCGCGGCCCCGCGAGCGCCGTCTCGGGCCCCGCCTGGGCTCGGCCGCACAAGGCAGGTGAATCAGTTCACGGGACATGCCGACCACCCAGGAGCGGGCGGTAGGCAGATGATGGTACGAACGCACCCTCGTCCTAAGTGTGCTACCAGCCACGAGAGAATGGGGCGGAGGGCTCAGGCAGGTCCACAGGAGAGACAGCCGTGCACAGACTCGTGGGGCGAGCATCTGAGGCAAAGGGACAGGATGTGCAAATGCCCTGGGACAGGACTGAATTTGCAGGGTTCCGGCGGCAGCCGCACCAAGGCAGGGGGAGGGGCGTGGATGTTCTCCTAGAAGCCACAGACCCCATCGGGCAACGTCATCAGTTTACGTCTGCGGTGCCCCCTCTGGTGCTGTGTGGAGAGCAGCCTGGGCAGCCTTTGGGGAGCAGAAGGGAGCTCGGGGCCACAGGGATACTCAAAGGCCGTTGGGAGCAGCGGAGCCAGTGGGAGTCAGACGCCGGGATGGGGCCCAGTGACCGGCGCTGTGACAGGCAGTTCTGACAAAGCTGGGGTGGGGCTCCCACAAACTCAGGACGGAGCCGGGGACAGTGGCGGAAGGCACAGCAACCCGCCTGGTGAAACCCCAGAGTCGAGCCTGGCTGGTGCGGCTCAGCGGTTAGAGCGTCGACCAGGGCCCAAGGGTGAGGGTTCAATTCCGGTCAAGGGCACGTACCTGGGCTGCAGGTTTGACCCTGGTCCCAGCTGGTACACGTACGGGAGGCAACCCACCCATGTGTGTCTCTCTCTCCTCCTCCTCCCTCCCTTCCACTCTCTCTAAAAAATCAATGGAAAAAATACCCTCGCAAAAAAATAAGTAAACAAGCGAACAAAAAAAGAAATGAAAAAGTAAAGGAAACACACACACACAAAATAAAAAGCATCCTTGGGTGAGGATACAAAAACCCCAGAAGCCTGCCCAAGGCAGCAGAGTTTTGTCAGCACAAGACTTTAGGTGCAGAGCAGAGAGCATCGCCCACCGGGCCGAGCCCACCTGGCCAAGCCCACCAGGCCGTGCCCACCTGGCCGAGCCCACTGAGCTGTGCCCACCTGGCCGAGCCCACCAGGCCAAGCCCACCTGGCCGAGCCCACTGAGCTGTGCCCACCTGGCCGAGCCCACCTGGCCAAGCCCACTGAGCTGTGCCCACCAGGGCAAGCCCACCTGGCCGAGCCCACTGAGCTGTGCCCACCTGGCCGAGCCCACCAGGCCAAGCCCACCTGGCTGAGCCCACTGAGCTGTGCCCACCTGGCCGAGCCCACTGAGCTGTGCCCACCTGGCCGAGCCCACCTGGCCGAGCCCACCAGGCCGTGCCCACCTGGCTGAGCCCACCAGGCCGTGCCCACTGAGCTGTGCCCACCTGGCCGAGCCCACTGAGCTGTGCCCACCTGGCCGAGCCCACCTGGCCGAGCCCACCTGGCCGAGCCCACCAGGCTGAGCCCACCTGGCCGAGCCCACTGAGCTGTGCCCACCTGGCCGTGCCCACCGGGCCGTGCCCATCTGGCCGAGCCCACCGGGCCATATCCACCTGGCCGAGCCCACCGGGCCATATCCACCTGGCCGTGTCCATCTGGCAATGCCCAGCTGGACAGGCAGCTGGGGCCACTGGGAGCTGGGCAAGCTGCCAGGAGAGGTTAGGTGCCCAGCGAGGGGGCAGGACCCACGACCTGGCTCCACACCTGTCCCCAACCCGATTCCACAGAAAAGAAGACGGGGCTAAAAGAGCTGTCTGGGTGACAGACACAAAACCGGTCACCTGAGCTATCCCCTTAACCGAGGCAGCCACGGCACGTGGCCTCAGCCCCGCCCACGCCTGCCGTTGCCATCACAGCCGGTGAAGAAGGCACTCGGGTGCCGCCAGGTGACGACGTGCGCTTCCCCCGGCGGCGAGAAAACGCAGACGGCCCATCTCCTTCTGCCCCAGCTCCTACCAGGTGAGCTGACACCTGGGTCCTGGGAAGTCAGCTTTGCATGTCCCCCCTGCAGCGTGGCCCCTGAGGCAGTGCCAGCCAAGGCCGCCTGCTCTCCCTGCTCATCAGGAAACCCCCCTCGTAGGGAAACCCCCCTCTGGGCTGCCTGCCCCACCAGGTGAACCCAGTTCCTCCCCTCAGTGGCCTTTAGCCTAGAACACCTGGGGGCTGGTTTGTTTGGTTTTTGCTTAAGCTGCGTCCCCAGCAGAGACATCCCCCAAAGCTCCTGTCCGTGACACCCAGGCCACGTGGACAGCCATGTGGGTTGTTTCCACTCCTCGACGTGGCAGGTGGTCAGGCAGGCTGCCCCAGTGGAACCCCAAGTTCACCATGGCTCAGGGTCCCCGCCTGCCCTGCCCCATCAGCCCCACGCACACGGAGGACCCACCACGTCTAGGGCCCAGAAGGTACCGGGATTCCGTAGAGAACCCCACACCAGCTCAGGGCCACGGCCACTCAGTCATCTGCGTGACTAATGAACAGAGCTGCCCCGGGAGCAGGGAAGAGACCACACATCATGCTCACGGCAGGTGGACGCGGCCCCGGGCCCACCTGCGGGGTCTGGGGACACCCTGTGAACTGTCCAGACAGTGGAAGGTCACTCAGCCTTGAAGAAGACACTGACACATACAACGTGGCTGAGGACACTGCTCCATGAGACCAGCCGGACACAGAAGGACACACACTGTGCGATTTCACTGCTGTGAGGACCTGGAGGAGGGAGGTTCAGAGACAGGGAGCAGAGGGGGTGCCAGGCGGGGGGGGGGTGTCTCGTGGGGACAGAGCTTCAGTCTGGGAAGAACAGTCCTGGAGGAGAGGGTGACGTTGTACCACAGCGTGAATGTGGTGGACACCCTGAACCGCGCACTCGAAAACCATTAACACAGTAAGTTTACAGTATGTGTTTTGTCGTGTGTATTTCACCAATGAAGAAATAAAACAGACCCCCCGGCAAACACTGACTAAAACTGTGACCCGGGGAGCCAGGGCCACGTCCTGGGGCGACCGTCCGGACGCTGCCCCGGGGCCCCGGCCCCCCCAGAGGGAAGCTGGGGTGGGGTGAACCCCGCACGAAGGCCGGGGGAGGAACAACACTGCTTCCCGAGCGTGAAGGCCGGCAGCGGAGAGCCCTTTTTAGTGGAAATGCTACGTTCCACGAATAAAACAAACTGGGAGGTATTTTTATACCGAGAAAGCGGATTATAGCTCAGCCACACACACCAGCAGCATTCCGCTGCCTCCAGAAAACCATAATTTACACCAAGCCTGGTGCTGTGCCCTCTGGTCACCTGGCCGACCCCAGGGAGCCACTGGGCAGGGGCAGGGGCAGCGTCCACCCGGCAGAAGGGAGGGGCGCTCCGGATGCCCACCCCACATCCTGCCCACGAACAGGCCAGGGGGCTCCTCACAGGGGGCTTAAGGCACCAGGGGCCATAAGACAGATTCAGGGTCCCCCTTCCACTGCCCCAGCCTAGGTAACCCGGTCACTCCAGCATCGGTCACCCCAGCCCCAGTCACCCCAGCCCCGGTCACTCCAGCCCCGGTCACCCTCAGCAGCTCCCGACCCACGTCCCCACCGCCCTGCCCTCCATCAGTCACCACCTCATCCCACCAAGGGCCGACTGGCCCAAATTTAAGACTGTAGCCAGGACACGGGGGTACCCACGGTGCCCAGACATCCTGGCCCTGGTGGGCTGGGGTCCAACGAGCACCTTAAAGCTGCCTGGGGCCCTGACCTGTCTGGCTCAGAGGTTAGAGCGTCGGCCTGAGGACCGGGGAGTCCCGGGTTCGGTTCCCACTATGGGCATGTGCCTCAGTTGTGGTTCGTCCCGGCCCCCATTGGGGTCGTGCGGGTGGCAGCCACTCAATGTGTCTCTCACGTCGATGTTCCTCTCTCTCTCCCTCCCGCTCTGTCTGAAGATAAATGCAAACATGTCCTCGGGTGAGAATGAAGAAAGCTGCCTTGTACCTGCTTGCCGAGGCCGGGACTGGGGGTGGCGGGACCTGCCCGAACACTATATCGGGGAACTCCCAGTGATGAGGTCACCTTTTCCCTTCTCAAAACTGCCTCCACGTGCCCCTGGTCTGTACCTTCCTGGTACATGGGCAAGAGACCACGAGACAGGTGAGGGGTCAGCTGAGCAGGGCGCTGGGAGGGGAGACGCCACCCACTGTACTCCCGGGGCCGCACAAGGGCCCCGCACACAGCAAGAGGCACATCTGGGCAAGAGAGAAATAAAGGGAGGGGGAGGGTCTGGGGACGGTGGGGCAGAGGGCCAGGTGGAGGCCAAACACCTCAGCGGGCCCGGCTCCGGCATCCACACCAGGCCGACGCCCAGGTGGGCCGCTGGCCGCGTCCGTGTCTGTCTTCTCTGCTTCGTGGGCTGGTGTTTCTTTCAACCCGAGTGAAGCCGGCAGAGCCGACTGTGGGCTGGCAGGCCGAGCCCAGGGCAGAAGCCTCCGCCTCCCTCTGACCCTCTGCCTCCACACTTCCTCTGCGGCCTCTGGCTCCTGCCTCAGGTGCCCCTCTTTCGTGGGGCGCCCACCCCCACCCCCGACACGCAGGCTCAGGGCAGACAGAAACCCCGACTCCTGTCTTCAGGGCCGAGGGCCCTCAAGCGCCGCGTGACCTCGCTGCGAGATGCCCACGGTGACTCATTTCCTCCGCCACCACCTCCGGAAGCTGAGGGCCGCCTGCCCAGTTCCCAGACACAGCGGGATGGACACAGACAGGCTGCTGCAGAGATAAATAAGTCTGTGTCCCCCAGAATAGCTTGACTGAACCGGACACTGAGCCCTGAAATACCTTGGCTGGGGCAGCCCGGCCAGAGTGACATTACCGGGCAGCAAGGGGCACGGGGGGGGGCACCTCGAGGGGCATGGTCTGCTATGAGGGGTGTGGGAGTGGGGGCCACCAGATGCCCCGTTCCCAGCACTGGTGTCTGAGGTTCAGGGGTGACTGGGGGCCAGCCTGGGATGTGGCGGCCTGTGGGGTCTCACGTATATGTCCTGACTGTGCACCAGGACCACAGACCCCCAAAATGCAGGGGCAGACTCGGTCCCTGCCCCCGGGGCTTCCAGTCTGCATGGGGCCGGCCTCAAACACACCAACAGGGCGGGGTGCGGAACCAGAAACGGGGTCCTAGGAAGGACGGCTCGGTGCCGAGGAGAAGCCACGGCCTGCGGGGCACCTGCCAACGCCCAGGCTGAGGAAGTGCGCGCGAGAGGCCAGAAGGAGAAGCAGGAGATGAGCCAAGGGCGGGGTTCCCGGCACAGGCCCGGGGCCCTGCCCTGTGGTCACGGCAGGGGGCTGGTGTGGCCAGGAGGCAGGTGAGGTGATTGAAGGACAGCAACTCCATAAAAGTGGGTCCCCCAACCCTTCAGACAGGGGAGACTCAGTGATCAGAGCAAAGCCAAGTGAAAAGGGGAGAAAGCGACATTCCGTGAGACGTTCCGCATCAACGGCCAGCGAGGCCGAGGGAGGCTGGCGCGGCTGGGCCACGGCCGGGGCGGCGTCGGTGAAGCGGACCAGCAGACGGGCACCGGGCGGGGACGGGCTGGCTACACCCGCGCCACCTGCACACGTGTGTCTCAGACTGCGCTTCGACACCTCCCTGCTATGTTACACGGAGTGGATGACTCCCCGGGGTGAACACGTTAGAAATGTACCGAGACGCTGTTTTCCAAACCAGCCAGGCGGTACTTACGTCTACTTCCCCTTGATCGATGACGTAGAAGTTGTCGCCTTCGTCCCCTGCAACAACAGAAGAGATGAAAGGGTTCAACGCAACGGGCACGGCTGCGGCGTGTGTCACCTAAACCACGTCACAGAGCTGGGTCTCATCTACGTTTTAAAATTCTTTAGGCAGGAAGGAGGGGGCCCCGGGGCGGGGGGGACATCTGTAATCCTTCCAACAATAAGAAAAGTATTTCAATAAAAACGGTCTGTATTCAGGGTGGACAACACGATATGCATTTTCACAGGGAACCTCGGCGGTCCACCAATGAACGCCCCAGCTCCCACGCGGTCACTTCAGGGACGACTGCACCTGAACCGCTCCGTCCGGGTGGGGCCCCGGTGCTCAGACAGGCACTCGGGTTTAAACGGCAAGACTGTTGACATGGGCTGGGTTCGCTCGTTAAGCAGATCACCCTTAAGTTTCGTTAGTGACGTTTATGCTGGTCATTCTTTAAGGGGACAGCCCAGTGTTCCCCGGTTTCGGCGCAGAGGGGACTGGAACGTACCTTGCTGAATGACAGTCTCCCCAGCGATGTGCGTGACAGGGAACATGGCGTCGAATATGTCACTGAAAAGAAGACACGGCGGTGTGACCCTGCTGCGGCCCCACCCACGTCCCTCACCTCCCAAGGGGCTGTTTTGTTGAAAGGAGGTCACGTTCACTGTGGAAGGAGCACCCACGTCCTTAAAGAAGGAACGAGGTCCGTGCCCTGGCCGGCAGCTCAGTTGGTTAGAACACGCTCCCCATACCCAAGGCGGTGGGTTCAACCCCGGTCAGAGTGCAAACTCAGCAGTGAACGTGTGAATAAGTGAGCAGCACGTCAGCTTCTCGCTCTCCCTCCTTCTCCTGAAAGTCGGTCAGGGGACTCACGGCCCGAGAGCGGCGCTGCCTCAGCACACCTTCAGGTCCGTTCCTGCACCCCGGAGGGGCTGCTGTCTGGGTTGGGGTCACACTGCAGACCCTGCTTTGGACGCCAACTTAAAAAACCGAAGTAACAGCCGGCGTGAGCATTTCTCACGTCGGGAGATCGAGTTCGAGAACGGCGGTCCTGACGACCTGTTCTCCGCATTCTCCCCTCGCAGGCGTCCTGAGAGGCTGGACGTGAGGTCACCCCGTGGACCCCAGACTCTCCCTCCGCTCCACGAGCCGCGGAGCCCGGGAGGCCGAGCCCGCGGGGCAGCCTGGCCGTTTAGTTTTTTAAATTTAGTTGTGAGATGGACTGAGGAGGGGACGTGCACCCCTCGCCACCCCCGAGAGGTGGGCAGGGTGGAGCGTGCCATCAGGACCCTCATCTCCTGGGGGCTGCAGCCAGACGCAGGGTCAGAGGTCAGTGTCTACACCCCAAAATGCAACGACCGCCCTCGGAGGCTGCGCCCACCCACAGAGACTGGAGCCACAAAGAGCTGGCAGGTGGGGGTGCACCCTGAAGGCTTTTCTGAAGCTGCTGCTCTTGGGTCTCACTGTGACCCCCGCTTCCCCCATCCACAGACACTGCTGAGCACCCTGCACGAGGTGCTGGGCTCTGGGGACACAAAGAGCCCTCCACCCAGCCAGGGTCCGGGGCTGGCAAGGGACAAGCGGGAAGAGCTGTGGCCATCAGTCCCGAGGGTACCAAGGGTGGGGTCACCCCTTCTGCACCCCAGGCCTGTGGGGTCAGTACTGCCGTCCTCCCCATCCCACACGTGTGGCGGTGCCAAGGTCAGCGCAAGCAAGAGCAAGGCCAGACTGCACCCCTCACGGGGCTCCCCTTGGGGCACAGCCGGAGCAGGGACGCCAGCCTGGGAGAGGACGGGTCTGGACGAGGCCAGGGACAGCCCCGCAGGCCCCTCGCCCAGGCCCCCGCTCACATGCTCTCCATCCAGGACACGGCCCAGGCCCTTGATTCCTCCTCAACAACCTCGCTCTCCAGCTAACACCGTTGCCCGTCTCCCCTCCTGCGCCCCTCTCCCCCTCCCCCGTGCCCGTCTCCCCCTCCCCCGTGCCCATCTCCCCTCCTGCGCCCCTCTTCCCCTCCCCCGTGCCCGTCTCCCCCTCCCCCGTGCCCTTCTCCCCCTCCCCCGTGCCCTTCTCCCCCTCCTGCGCCCATCTCCACGCAGGGAAACAGCTCCTCTCTCTCCAGTTTGCAGAGCTGCTCACGAGTGGTAGACACTGGCCTCAGACCCCTTCCTGCGGTCGGTCAGCTGTGGGTCCCTTCCTGTGCCGTCCTGCGTGAAGCTGCCCTCCTTCCCGGACCAGAATCTCCTGTTTGCGGTTACGGGTGGTGCTGTGTGGGTTTTCCCCGCAGGCCAGAGAGCAAATACTCTCCCGTCACCGCCTGGGACCGGGTGTGACTTCAACCTCAGGCGCTGCCTTCTCTCGGCCTGGAGGCCGGGCGTCCGCGGCAGGTCCTCACGGGCCGGGAGGGTGAGCTCTCTGGGGTCTCCTCTGTGAGGACGCTGATCCCGTCACGGGGGCCCTGCCCCAGTGACCCCCCTTAACCCTAAGCTCAGCCCCAAGCCCCATCTCAAATACCATCCCATTGGGTTAGGGCTTCAACACACAGGTTGTGGGGACACAATTCAGACCATAACAATGACCTCCCGCTAAATACAGTTTTCATGTCTGTGTTCGGGGCCCTGGGCCGGGGGGCAGGGGGCCTGGTTCTGTCCTTCCCCAGAGCCAGCCAGCACCCCCACGACATCCGTCACACACTCTCGGGGTCCGGTGTGAGCCAAACGGCGTGTCCCCCACATTCACGCCCGCTGGGAGCTTCCCGTTCCCCGAAGGGGCTTGGAAAAGTGAGAAGGGACGTTGGGTGGCGTCTGACAGGCCCACCTGGAAGCCCAGCCCTGCGCTTCGGGAGGGAGGCTCTGGCCCCACTTAAATTCTAGTGCTTGTTGGTCCCTCGGGGTTTTCTACGTCCTCATGTGCCAACGTCGGCACCATTTTCAAACTCGGCAAATTTAAAAGCTGAAAACTGTAAAGATGCAAATCTGGGGCACGTATTTGGAAAATAAAAACGGCCTGAGGAACAGGGGCCCCCTGTCGGCGCCCGGACGGGCGTCCCCAGCTGGGGTGGAGGCCCCTGCACTGTTGGGGTGAAGCCTCCGTCTCTCTGTCAGCTGTGAGGCTCTAAGCAACACTCTGTGAGCAGCGATAGCTCAGGCCCAGCAGCAGCTACAGAGGGAGCACAGTGTCTGCAGACCCCGGAGCCTTTCTGGGGTACCTGGTCCTGTCTGGGGGTTCCTCAGGCACAAACGCCCGGCACTGGAGAGAGAAACACAAAGGCCGGGACCCGGGGGAGCACCGGGGCATCCACGGGGGCCACGGTGCCTGAGCCGCAGGGAGACAGGCCCCACCCAGAGGCACCGGTACACCCGCCGGGGGGACCCCGCATCACGGACGCCCAGGCCCACCCCGGCTCGAGGGCGGCGGCACCTACGGGTGCAGAATGATGAAAGTGGACGTTTGCCTTCAAAACGGGCATGGCCTTTGAACCTGCATGGCTGCTCACGGTTTTGATTCCTGTGAGCATTCCCGCCACAGACACGGTTTACACGTGTGGGTGGGGCAGGCAGGTGTACAGCTGTGAGCAGCTCGTCCTGTGTTCCTGCTCACTAACTTTCGTGTTCTCTTCCGCATAAACTGTGAACCTCTTCTCACCCAACCCCGCAGATAAGACGTGGCCACAGTGCAGTTGGTGGTCATGGGGATTTGACATGCCTGATGGCTCACCACACTGCAGAAGGTGGTACAGGCGGTGTTCTCAGACAGTCTGCGGAGACACGCCTGTGGGGGTGGACGCGTTCATCACAGGTCCATTCAATAAAGCAGGTCACAGGCAAAAGCTGATAGAATTGCAAGAAGTAGACAAATCCAAATTATAGAGGAAGATTTCAACACCCCCTACCAGAAATGGACAGACAGAGAGACCGGGCAGGCAGACAGCCAGGGACAGAGCCAAAGTGAACAGCACGGATCCAGCTGGCACCCACAGACCACTTTGTCCTTCTCGGGCTCCCATGAAACATTTACGAGGCGCCCCATCTCCTGGGCCACACGACACACCTGAACAAACTCACGGGAATGGAAGCCATACAGGGTCCGCTCTCAGAGCACAATGGAATTAAAGAGAATCAACACAGGAAGTTAGCTTGAACATCTCAAAAGAGTGGCAGATTAGAAACACATGTCTAAATAACACAAAGAAGCCTCAAGAGACACTGAAAAGATTTTGATCTCAATGAAAATGAAAATACAACTTATCAAAATGTGTGGGATGCAGCAAAAGCAGTGCTTAGAGGAAAATTTATAGCACTGAATGCCTCTATTAGAAAAGGAAAAAAATCTAAAGTCAATAACCTAAGCTTCCACCTTAGGAAACTAGGGGAAAAAAGCATGAATTACATTCAAAGTAAGCAGAAGAAAATAAATAATAAAAGTTACAATGAGAAATCAATGGAATTTAAAATAGGGAATTAACAGAGAACGTCGATGAGACCAAAGCTGGCTCTTTGAAGAGATCAAAACAATCCCAGAAATATTTAGCCAGCCGACCCTCCCCCACACATACACACGAGAAAAAAAAAAAACACAAATAACTAATGTCAGAAACAGAAGAGGGACAGATCACCACAGATCCGGTGGACATCAAAGAACACACAGCCCGGTCAGTGTGGCTCAGTGCCTGAGCGTCGTCCCGTGGACTGAGAGGTCCCGGCTGGGTTCCTGCTCAGGGCACATGCCTGGGTTTCGGGCTCAATCCCCAGTAGGGGGTGTGCAGGAGGCAGCCAATAGATGTTTCTTTCTCATGTTGATGTTTCTATCTCTCTCCCTTCCTCTCTCTCTTTAAAAAAACAATAAAAACATATATTTAAAAAACGAATAAACAAACATGACGAACAAGAGGAAGGAGAGGCCGGCACTCCACACGGCTCCTGACTGGGAGGGTGGGGTGAACATCTCGCTGGCTGGGGCGCCCCCAAGGTGGAACCCTGGCTCCACCACAGAGGACCCCCTCAGCCACCCCCTAGGACGCCCACACCCTCCCAGAAGCTTGACCAGGAGCCCCACCGGCTCGTGCCCACCCAGAGGCGCCACTGGACGCGGGTGAGAGCCAACGGTCAGCTGGGGCCGAGCTGGACTGACCAAGGCCAACGCAGCCCGTGCCTCCAGTCCAAAGCAAGGCGGTGGACACAAAAGGGGTGCGGCCTCTGCTGTCACATTCACTTGACACGCAGGGAGGGCGGTGTGGGGCCAGCCCCCTGCTCACCCCGCCAGGCACCAGCTGTGCCTCGAGTGGACCTGAGGAAACCATCTCCTGCGGCCCTGGAAGGACCATGCGAAGGGACCAACGCTGCTCGAGGAAGCCACCCCAGAGGTCAGGAGACCCCAGAAGCAGCCAATGGTTTCTGCAGACAGTCCAGCAGAGGAGACTGGGCACTGCAGGCGCCCGGCCAGGCCTGCCGCCCACGCTGTGACCGCACTCGGGCTGGGAACCTCATCACAACCCTGCACCGAGGGCTCGGGCCGGTTCCCGGGAGCCCAGGGGAAAAGCCCCCGCATTTAGGGTGGCCCCCGCTCCCCGA